TCCGATCCTCAAGCGGAGTACCTTTATCGATTTCTAGATCGATTTGCTATCATTCTGCATCAAAATCCCGATACAAAATATTTTTTCCATTTTTTGTCCATTTTTCCTGATGGGATCCCTTGAAATGGGATTTTTCCCTATGGGGTCTAGAGAGATGCCTATATCTTCCCCAATTCTCATCCGATCCTCAAGCGGAGTACCTTTATCGATTTCTAGATCGATTTTCTATCATTCTGCATCAAAATCCCGAGACAAAATATTTTTTAGATTTTTTGTCCATTTTTCCTGAGGGGACCCCTTGGAAATGCGGTTTTCCCCTATAGGGTCCTCTGCGATGGCTATATCTTCCCCAATTCTCATTCGATTCTCAAGCGGAGTACCTTTATCGATTTCTAGATCGATTTGCTATCATTCTGCATCAAAATCCCGAGACAAAAATATTTTTAGATTTTTTGTCCATTTTTCCTGAGGGGACCCCTTGGAAATGCGGTTTTCCCCTATGGGGTCCACTGCGATGGCTATATCTTCCCCAATTCTCATCCGATCCTCAAGCGGAGTACCTTTATCGATTTCTAGATCGATTTGCTATCATTCTGCATCAAAATCCCGAGACAAAATATTTTTTAGATTTTTTGTCCATTTTTCCTGAGGGGACCCCTTGGAAATGCGGTTTTCCCCTATGGGGTCCACTGCGATGGCTATATCTTCCCCAATTCTCATCCGATCCTCAAGCGGAGTACCTTTATCGATTTCTAGATCGATTTGCTATCATTCTGCATCAAAATCCCGAGACAAAATATTTTTTAGATTTTTTGTCCATTTTTCCTGAGGGGACCCCTTGGAAATGCGGTTTTCCCCTATAGGGTCCTCTGCGATGGCTATATCTTCCCCAATTCTCATCCGATCCTCAAGCGGAGTACCTTTATCGATTTCTAGATCGATTTGCTATCATTCTGCATCAAAATCCCGAGACAAAATATTTTTTAGATTTTTTGTCCATTTTTCCTGAGGGGACCCCTTGGAAATGCGGTTTTCCCCTATAGGGTCCTCTGCGATGGCTATATCTTCCCCAATTCTCATCCGATCCTCAAGCGGAGTACCTTTATCGATTTCTAGATCGATTTGCTATCATTCTGCATCAAAATCCCGAGACAAAATAATTTTTAGATTTTTTGTCCATTTTTCCTAAGGGGACCCCTAGGAAATGGGGTTTTCCCCTATGGGGTCCACTGCGATGGCTATATCTTCCCCAATTCTCATCCGATCCTCAAGCGGAGTACCTTTATCGATTTCTAGATCGATTTGCTATCATTCTGCATCAAAATCCCGAGACAAAATATTTTTTAGATTTTTTGTCCATTTTTCCTGAGGCGACCCCTTGGAAATGCGGTTTTCCCCTATAGGGTCCACTGCGATGGCTATATCTTCCCCAATTCTCATTCGATTCTCAAGCGGAGTACCTTTATCGATTTCTAGATCGATTTGCTATCATTCTGCATCAAAATCCCGAGACAAAATATTTTTTAGATTTTTTGTCCATTTTTCCTGAGGGGACCCCTTGGAAATGCGGTTTTCCCCTATGGGGTCCACTGCGATGGCTATATCTTCCCCAATTCTCATCCGATCCTCAAGCGGAGTACCTTTATCGATTTCTAGATCGATTTGCTATCATTCTGCATCAAAATCCCGAGACAAAATATTTTTTAGATTTTTTGTCCATTTTTCCTGAGGGGATCCCTAGGAAATGGGGTTTTTCCCTATGGGGTCTAGAAAGATGCCTATATCTTCCCCAATTCTCATCCGATCCTCAAGCGGAGTACCTTTATCGATTTCTAGATCGATTTGCTATCATTCTGCATCAAAATCCCGAGACAAAATATTTTTTAGATTTTTTGTCCATTTTTCCTGAGGGGACCCCTTGGAAATGCGGTTTTCCCCTATGGGGTCCACTGCGATGGCTATATCTTCCCCAATTCTCATCCGATCCTCAAGCGGAGTACCTTTATCGATTTCTAGATCGATTTGCTATCATTCTGCATCAAAATCCCGAGACAAAATATTTTTAGATTTTTTGTCCATTTTTCCTGAGGGGACCCCTTGGAAATGCGGTTTTCCCCTATAGGGTCCTCTGCGATGGCTATATCTTCCCCAATTCTCATCCGATCCTCAAGCGGAGTACCTTTATCGATTTCTAGATCGATTTGCTATCATTCTGCATCAAAATCCCGAGACAAAATAATTTTTAGATTTTTTGTCCATTTTTCCTAAGGGGACCCCTAGGAAATGGGGTTTTCCCCTATGGGGTCCACTGCGATGGCTATATCTTCCCCAATTCTCATCCGATCCTCAAGCGGAGTACCTTTATCGATTTCTAGATCGATTTGCTATCATTCTGCATCAAAATCCCAAGACAAAATATTTTTTAGATTTTTTGTCCATTTTTCCTGAGGGGACCCCTTGGAAATGCGGTTTTCCCCTATAGGGTCCACTGCGATGGCTATATCTTCCCCAATTCTCATTTGATTCTCAAGCGGAGTACCTTTATCGATTTCTAGATCGATTTGCTATCATTCTGCATCAAAATCCCGAGACAAAATATTTTTTAGATTTTTTGTCCATTTTTCCTGAGGGGACCCCTTGGAAATGCGGTTTTCCCCTATGGGGTCCACTGCGATGGCTATATCTTCCCCAATTCTCATCCGATCCTCAAGCGGAGTACCTTTATCGATTTCTAGATCGATTTGCTATCATTCTGCATCAAAATCCCGAGACAAAATATTTTTTAGATTTTTTGTCCATTTTTCCTGAGGGGACCCCTTGGAAATGCGGTTTTCCCCTATAGGGTCCACTGCGATGGCTATATCTTCCCCAATTCTCATCCGATTCTCAAGCGGAGTACCTTTATCGATTTCTATAACGATTCTCCACCATTCTGCATTAAAATCCCGAGACAAAATATTTTTTACATTTTTGTCCATTTTTCCTGATGGGATCCCTAGGAAATGAAGTTTTTCCCTATAGGGCCCACGGTGATGGCTATATCTTCCCCCATTTTCATCCGATCCTCAAGCGGAGTACCTTTTTCGATTTCTAGATCGATTTGCTATCATTCTGCATCAAAATCCCGAGACAAAATATTTTTTCAATTTTTTGTCCATCCTCAAACTATAACTTCATTAGATCCACGGATCACAAAATAATACGATTTGAAAATGATTTTTTATAAAAGTTGACCAAAAAGCACGTGGCCATTAAGAAATTCAACTTTAGTGTGAACAGATTTAAGACTACTTCTTGTCTCCTCAAATAGTGGGACCCTCTTCAAAAGCCCTTTAGCCATACAGAAATATCAGAGGGATCAGCAGATCACAAGGGTCTGGTCTCTCTAAGATTTTACTATAAAACGCGGAGCATTTGGGATCTCAAACTCATTGTTCGTTCGTTTGTCGAACAGTCAAGTCGACTCTGGCTCTTATTTGTTTTTTAAGTTTTTTTCTTTTTTTTATTTTTGAAATGTTTTTTTTTATTTGAGTTATTTAACATTGCGCCTCCTTTGTTGATGCTGGAGGTTGTGGTTGTGGCCACTTATTATTTTTATTATTTATCATTTTTCGAAATTATTTTATTATTTATTACCATTCGATCTATGTTGTCGTTGGAGATGATCATGTGCGCGATATCATTTAATTCTCCCGTTTATTGTTATTTTTTTCTGTTTTTTGAAGATTTTTTTCCTTATATTTATTTTTTGAATTATTTTTAAACTCGATAAACCATTTTTTTTTCACTATTATGTACTGAACATTAATTTAGACCGATCTAATCCCAAAGAAAGGAATATTTTTTGGGGAATTTTTTTTTTTCATACTCACCATTCGTTGATTTTAATTTTTTTTCAATATAAAACTTGTCTGGCGTCTTGCTTCTAGCCGGTTGAAAAATATACTGATGCTTTCTATACACATTCCGCCCTAAATAGGCAGGAATTCGACCTCACAGCCTACTATGAGACTTAATTTTTTCCCAAAAAACCAAAAATTAAATATTGACAGAAAACCTGGTTCTGCTCTTTTAAGCTGCCAGATATCAGAAGCCTGTTCTTAAAACTCAATAGGAGCTTTTATAATCTGTATATGGCCGATTCAACACTACATAGTACATGCTATACATCGAATACGATCTTCTGAGTATATTTTAACCATCGACAGACTTTTGAAACAAAAAGCACAGTCGTCGAACTTGTTGGAAGTCTTTCTGGATCGGCAGCATTTTTCGAATTCCTTATCCAATTTAAGGAATGCCTGATGGCTTTTTACCATAGAGTGTCTTGAATAAACGAACTTGCATTCCCTTAAAAGCCCACTATTCTTATCGACATCTGCCACTTTTAGACTCGAAGCACTCAAAACGAACAGCAGAGCTGCAATAACACCTCCTCTGCAACACACTTCCAATAACACACAACAAAACCACGGAAATATCCATATGGCCCCCGCAAGGCCTATAGCTCTGTCAATATTCATCCGATTCCCAAGCGGGATATTTTAGACGATTTGTGGAACCATTATTTATCACTCTGCATCAAAATCTGGGACGGAAATATTTTTTAGATTTTTTTTTTTCAAATTTCCAGGGTGTCTCTTTCACTGGGAATGACTTATCTTGGCTTATTACTTTTTCAAGCTTTCCATTTAAGGCTATAGCTGCCTATAGGTGGCTTTGCTGTGTCCTTCAGCTCTCTTGTATTACCTTTAACAATTCCCCCCTCATCTAAATAAAGTCAAAAGCCAAAGTATTGACATAACCAAGTTCTTATTTCTTTTAAAATTTGAGTCCTGAACAGATACATGCCTGAAACACCCCGATTTAGAGGCCGAATAGATTTCTGTAAAATTTCGTCAATTTTTTCCTTGGCTTGTCAGATTTTAGTAAGTTTCCAATAATTTTCCACAAGTTCTGAAGGTGCCTGCAGTGAAAGACTAGTCTCCAGGATTAAAGCTTCAATCTTCTTCGTCGGAGGACATCATGGGGGACATGTCGTGGGCCTGGGCGCGGACGATCCTGTTGTAGTCGCGGGGCCGCCACTTCATCAGGTAGACGGCCCGCATCGCGACCGCGTCGTTCATGTTGGGCATGTAGAGCAGCTCCTGGATGCACGTCATCAGGCACTTGAGGGTGATGCCGGGCTGCCAGTCCTCCTCCAGAAGCGGGTACTTCACGATACCCGACGGATACACGTTCGGGTGCAGCACGGTGGGCACGAACTTGCACTGCGGTGGCTTCGTGGGGTACTCCTCGGTGAAGGTCACCTCCAGCCAGAAGATGCCGCCCTGCCAGGGGGTGCCCTTCTTGCCGGGCACGCCGCAGTCCCACAGCATGTAGTTGAGGGTCCCGTTCTTGTTCCTCCGCGGATGGGCCTCGTATCCCTTGAGAGGATTGCGCCGCCACTGCTGGCGCTCCTTCTTCAGGAGAGTTAGGGCGCCCTCAGTCATATTTTTTAATAATTTGTATTCTTTTCTAGCTTTTCTTAGTTCAAAAGTGAAAAACTAGTGTAGAAAAATAATTTCCCAAAATGTATACAAATTTATTTTTGAATTTCTGTTTAGCTTTCTTTTTCTGTTTTTAAACCGACAATTTTTTTGGTGTTCACCGATCGAAGTTCCGAATGAGACTGATGATTATAGGGGGGAGCCCTTAGCTTATGACTTTGACAGGTATTTTTTTGAAATTACAAGGATTACTTGGTGGATTTTTCATAAAAATAAAGCCTACTATTCTTTAGAGGGTTTCAGATGGTATTTGTAGATAAAGAGCTAGACTTTATAGTCTATATAGATGGATAGACTATATATTCGGAGTTATGTGAAGTATTGCGAGTACCAGGTATCGTTATTGGTGAAAAACGTAACGTAACGCCCTCTATTTTCTTATTTTAAAGCCAAATATGGAGAATTTTGAAATCAGTAAACCCAGTCAATGTTTAAAATAGAAAAAGGGTTACTATTATAGATGAAAATACTCTTAGAGAGAAATATATTAAAGACCAGGTATCATATAGTCAAGAAACTAAGCTACAGCAATATCATTTCCCCTTCTAAAGAAAAATCGAGTGACTTTTAATCCCAACCAAGTCCATAATTAGTATAAGAATAAACCTCAACCCTTACCTATAGATGAATAGAATTTTGAAAGCGAATACAGTGAGTACTATGTATCATTAAGTCATAAAACTTTAAAAAAATTAAAACCCCATTCTTTTTTATAGATTTTAAGAACTTTTGAATCAATTACCTTGAGTACCGGGTATCATATTATCCAAAAAACTGAACTTTAGATCTTCTTTTGCTATTTTTTAACCCTATAAAGTCAACAATTGGTTAAAACAGTACAACCCTAGTCTATTTTATAGACCATAAGCCTCTTTAAAGCAATTACATCTCGTACCGGGTATCCTACCATCCAAAAAATGAACTATACCCCACCTTATACCTCTTTTAAAGCCCAAACCAAGTGACTTTCTAACCAATAAAGTCAATAAAAGTCTCTCTTGCACATTTCTTCAAATATAAATACATATTTTATAGTTTTCTCCTAACTGACCTCCATTAACTTTTGCTTTGACCAGAAAACTGCATAATTTATGTGCATATTTCACAAAAAAAAAAGTAACAGGAGCGTGGGGAGCTAGAAGGGAGAAATAAAATGTCCAACAATTTGTTGGCTCAAACAAACTGGCAACAAGCTCTTTGTAAATTCCCTCTATTTGGCCAAGCCCCCCTCCCCATGCTGGTAACTACGGCGAGTCCTTTTCGTAGATGTTGCGCAATAAATAAATAAATAAATAAATCAAAGGCATTTAATTTCGTTTTTGGTTCCCCTCTATTTTTTTTCAGCTGAACTCTGACCCGCCAAAAAGCTCAAACACACACAGGCACACACGCATTATCTCTCCCTCTTCCAGAGTCGGGCATAAAAAATGCGTGACACACGCGGCGTATGCGTAATCTGCCCTACGAGGTGGAAGCTGAAAGCTGAGAAGCCGGAAAAAGCGAATACACGAGAGGTGAACGCGAAATCAGTGCCATAAACTAAACTAAAAGGGGCACTGAGAAAAAAATAGGGTTTCTTTTTTATAGAAAAGGCTTTGGAAATGGTTTAAAAAGGTCAAAGTTAAAGGATAAACAGAGTTAAGGTAAACAAATTCGACATTATATTAAAAAAAAACATTTTAAAAATATATAAAAAATTATAGAATAATGTACTTACCTCCACAAATTTAAATATAAAGAGTTTTACCAATTTAAAGCCTTGAAACTAATACCTTTGAGCTCTTGAAACTATACAATTTAAAGTTCTAATATATTTTTTGTTCAAAAAAAGGATAAAAAAATGTATATATATATATATAAATATATACAAATTTCTAAAACACCATAAATACTTTAAAAACTTTAAATTTTAATAATTTAAAGACTTAAAACCAATTCTTTTATGCTCTTAAAACTCTTAAACTTTAATTTCTTTAATTTTTTGGCAAAAATTCTTTCTCCAAATTTCTTAAAATTTTTTTTAAAAAAGTGCCAATAATCATCCTTATTTTTCACAGTGCATAGCATCCAAAAGAACAACCTGAAAGACTGTGGAAGGGCTAGGGACAACCGAGAGTCCTGCGGGGCAACTCCACTTTGACGCCTTTTGTCAATTTGTTCACCTTCAGTCCGCAATTGAAGGACGAAGGAGTCTCGGCAGCCTCCAAGGAACAGGCCTCTCCCTCTCTCCCAAATAAGGTTGGTACGTGCCACGCCTTATTTTTCTTTTGTTTGTGTATTTTTTTTTGTTGTTTCTGTTGTTGTTGTTGAACAACTAACTGAGGCCGCCCTGTTGACTTTTCTATCAGGTGGCAATTTATTTAACTGCGTTTGCATTTAAAATTCGCTCGAAAAAGTTCACGAGGGAAAAAGTCCTGCCCGACAGACAGTGGGGTCCTGGAGCTACTGATTTTCCACCCAAAAAACTAAACACAAAAAAAAAAAAAACAAGAAAAAAAAACCAAAAGGATAAGAAGGAGAAACTGAATGAAAGTGGAGGTGGAGCTCGTAAGGATAACGGGAATGGCAAGTAAGCCACGTTAACAGGTTAATGGATCTATTTACTTTTTCATAAACTCCAAATGCCCTGGATCCTTGGATCCTTGAAGGGCTTTTGGGGGAATTTCATGGAAAAAAAAACACAAAAAAAGGGGGAAAAAGTGTAAAAAGATTAAATAGATGGGAAGCTAATTTAAGTGATTTAATTTAGTTAGTTAATTTAGGGTTTAAAAAAGGTACTAATTGTAAAATAAAAGAAACCCTTATCAAACACTACACATTCATAGCGGTAGTATCGTTATCCCGTTAACTTCTTGTCTCAACTCCACATTTTAATTTCCACTCCTTATTCCCGGTTTTCTGCATTTCTTCTATCTTCTTCTTTTTGATTTTTTTTTTTTTTTTTGATTGACTGACAACTGATGAGTTGGGGGCTGGGCGGCAGGGGGCGCTTTAGGCCAAATGATTGTAGGCCGTTCCGTTCAATGTATCTGTGTGTGTGACTTTTGGCCCAAAGCGCAGACACTAGCACACTAGACACACACACACACACAGGCATGCTCGCACATGACAGCTGCCCCTCCTTTTGTAGGCATGACAAATGTCTAGGACATTTCGGCACACTTGTCAGGACTCAAAGCCCAAAAGCCAATTCCCCCGGCAGACACACGCACACACACACTCACACACACAAACAACAACAAAAAGAAAGAATACAAATACGAAAATAAGAAAGAAAGCGAAAGAAAAGTGTATCAAGATGGTGAATGCTCTTTCTTTGAAGAGAGGGAGGAGAGACAACTTCAAAGTCCAACTCTTTCAGTTGCTTTAAATTATTAAATTTTATAATTTTTTTTTATATTTATAGTTTATATTTTAAAATTAATATTTTGTAAAGTATTTTAGCTTACATGCTTCACTGTACTTCAATTGATCTTTTTCATTTTCATTCTTCGTTTCTCTCATTCTGTTCTTGAATAACTGTACTTCTGTTGGGGACGCTAAGCAGCACGTGCATGGCATACGTGTCCAACCCCTCTTTCACACCTAAACACACGCGAAACCGTAACCGCCACAAGAATATCACCATAATCACCATATTAAATGAATAAATAATTTCACTTTAAACACAATTACTATATTTATTAAACAATTACACTATTATTTAAGACAGAACTACGGACGAACGATGCAACATTCACGAACTCACTCCAAGCAATGATTTGCAAGCGCACGCACGCCTGAATGCACGCCAAAAAGGGGAACGAAAAGGGGAGAGTAAGGATCCAAAGCACTCGATCATGGGGAGTGAGAGAGCGCTAGGGAGAGCAAGAGCTGAGTGAGATCAGGTGCTGGGCGGAAAAAGGTGCTTAGGGCGAGTGAGAAGGTGGCGAGTGGGAGATGGTGGTAATTGAGAGCAGGTGGCGAGTGAGAGATGGTGGTAATTGAGAGCAGGTGGCGAGTGAAAGAAGGTGTGAGGGGAGCACGTGATGCCATTAGAGCTAGAAAACTGTACTTGATTTCCAGCTAAAGTACAATTTACAAAAATATTTAAATATCTACGCATATTGACAAAAAATATTTATTATTTCATTTTTTATTTAAAATTTATGAATACCTAGATTTATTTCCTAAAAAAAGAGCATTTAAATTCATCCTGTCAGTTCCCTTTTCTTTATTTATTTATCTTTTTTTCCTAAAAGTTTTGTTATCCACTACTACCTTTTTTTTAACTTTCTTTCATTATTTTTTTGTTGTGTTTTGTTTTGGTGTATTTTTCCGGTTCCATTTTCTTGGCATTTTGCAGATTTTCGCATTCCGTTTGATTGTCCCAAAGGATAATCGAAAGGACTTCTGTTTGAAGTGCCTTGGTTAAAAATTAAAATTATGTGTTTTTTCAACAATTTGGTAAATGATGGTAAAGCAGTAATAGTTATATACCCTCTTTCTTTATAAATTAAGGTACATACATATATATACTTCATTTGAGGTATAAATGGATATCGATTACTGCTTAGTTGGATTTTTAATTGCCATAACTTTGTCAAGCCATGGCATTTTTCTGCTTCATCATTACAGTCATTATCCTTCCTACTTTTATATTTATACTCTATCCAGGGAGCATTATACTTTTTTGAAGGGAGATATTTTGAGAAGAGATATTTTATTTAATTGGAATATTTTTAATATAAAATATATTATATATTTTGAAATATATTATATATTTTTGATTTGGTACATTAATGATAATTAAAGTTATATATTTCGTATAGTTTAAGACAGTATTTTAAATGATTTTTAACTTAGTATTTTAGTTTTTAGCATCCTTTGTATATAAATTACTTACTTTTAAATCTATCTATCTCCCATAGTTTCTACATTTTTATTTAAAGTTCAGTCCCTCT